TGTATCTCAGAGTTCAGAAGCTGGAAGGAAAGGAGTATATATAAGTTATTTGTTCATTCATTGGGAAAAAGAACCTGTTTTCCTACACCCTTACTAACAAAGATCCGATAGTAACAGCTCCTAGCAATAACAATAAAAATAAGTTGCAGTTGCACTTCAGGTGGAAATGTTCATACTTTGTTGTTCCTGAAAGATGGTGATACTGCAGCGTTCAATGCTTGCTGTTGCAAAAAACAGTCAGGGGTGAAAACCTTAGAAGGTGCTCCAAGGTGTTTTTTCCTCTCAAAACGTTAGGCTATTTTGAAAATGCCAGTCAATTTGGTGCAGTTTGCTCTGTGCCAGAGGAAACAGATTTGCTCTTGAGAAGCATTATTATCAGCTGGAGGAATAAGTTACAARATGGGTTGGAGTGGTGCAGATTTTACCAAAAATGGGATTATCCCAGCCTTTACTTCAAGTTGTGGTTTCAACAGCAAAACCCAAAGCATCTAACATGGTGTTAGTGTTGCCATACTGTGGGAGGGCCTCAGGGTCCTGTTTCAAATATAATTAATTTACCCAATAAGAAACCTCACATTGGATAGTTAAAGGTGTCTTGGTGATGGTGAAAATAGGAGCTGTTCTGGGGAGCTGTGTCCTTGCAAGGGTGTTTGCTGATGGATGTGGAATAGAYAGGAACAAGCAGGAGCTTTTGGAAAGTGTTTACAGAGAAAGTTTATACTGTACATTTCTCCTAGTGCTGGAGGCAACTTTCYTCTGTTATTATAAAATTTGTGAAGGTCACCATATGCTAATTTCTTTTCTTTACCTCATGAAACTTTTAAAGATAGATGTCCTGAGCCAACAGCTGCTACTAGGTATACACAGCAACAAATACATGTAGGGCTTATACAGCTAAAATGACTAAGACTAGATGTGTATGCCTGTGTATGTATTTAATCCAGAWTTCCATGTCCTGTTTAACACTTATGAAGAGGAATCACAACCCCTAAGGATGCTCTGCTGCTGCATGGCATCGTAAACAAAATGTCTCTGGAGTTCAGCACAGCACTGACATTTTGGTTATAGTGCCAATAAACAAGAMAGCCCCTGTGGCACATTGACTGACTTATTATCCCCACCAAAGCCATGAGGAACTGTAGARTGCCTGCATGGTTACTATACTGCTTTTTCTCTACTTTGCTAATTAAAATAAGTGTGTTTGGCCAGGTTGAATGTTTTGGGGGGCTGCTGCCATAYGCTACATGACACACTTTTACACTGCATCTTTATCTTGTTGGGTTTTTTCTTTAGCTCARTTGCTGGAGACGGGAACTCTTTTGGGTTATTGAGTGGTCTTTTTGAGTAATTCATGTGACTGAAAGCTTCTGGTGCACACTAGCATTTTTGTGGGTCTGGTGGAGAAGGTTCTTGGGGTGCTGCTATACCAGGTGAGTTGGTTGAATTATTTGTTTGGAAAGACAAGCTGATAAAAATGAGGAAGCTGGGACTTCAGAGCCATTCTGCTGGGCCATATCTTCTTCAGGGCTATTTCTGCTGTGAATACATCTTCATTAAATGTATGGTTATCCATCATCTCTGGTTCAGAATAAAACCCTGGACTAACTAACAAGATGTGTCACTTCAGGAGTTTCCTGGTGTCCTGGTGAGGGACAGGATGACACGAAATGGGGTCATATCTTTAGAGCTAATTCCCAGTGCATTGCTCTAGCCCAGCCTGGGGCTGGTGAATGCTCCCCACTTTCTGCCAAGGCAGTGAATGCCTTTCTGCCACTTTGGGAAGGTGTCTGATGGTCCTTCTCACATGGAAAAGCAAATTGGGTTATCAGCAATAGCTCCTTCTGAAGTAGGATTTTGCTGGCAAAACTAATTCTTCTTGCTGTAGATGGAACCAAYTTGTGACCACCTAATCCTGGAGAATCAGTTGAAATTTGCCAAATGTAGCCAGTATTCTGCAGAATATTTTTTTCTCAATTTTCTGTAGAACAAGCAGGTCAGGAGAACTACAGAATATGGCTGAGACAGCACCTTGTTAAATATAGGGGAAAGCACTTTCTTCCCCACCCTCCACCTCCAAATTAATGGGTGAGAGACTTAGGGACAAAGAAAGTTACTGTCATGGCTGAGCCTACACACAKATCTGTGAGCTCTCTGGAGATCCCCTGGGAAACAAATCTAAGACAGGAGGAGCTGTTCTAAAAATAATGTGCAGTTTTATTTACAAAATTTTATCACAGGTATTCACAGAGGTGCTGAAATTCTCTTCGGAATGCCTGAAATTTAACTGTAATCCTCAGCCTGAGTGTCCCAGCATGCTYTACATACACAAAATCAATGTGCCATCATCTCTCCACCATCATCTTGGCTTAGTTTTTGTCATAAACCAGTGAAGCTTGTTGGTGTTATGGGCTYAGTCCTACAGTCAAACATCTGCTGAATTCCATAGGAATTTTGCTGTGGAAGGATCCCATAAAAAGCTTTGTTACTGGCCTAGACCTCATCTGAACACAGTGAAAGCTTAACAGCATGGATTTACAGAGAGCTGATGGATCTTCCTTCACCTCAAGAAGAAGAGTTGTGCCTCACAGTGTGTTTGCAACTCTAAATTCCTTGATCTCAGAACTGTGGCAAGATGTGTGTTATGATGGCAGCCTGGTGKGAGGATGGAGGGAAATGTGAGAGGAGGCAGTCTGGGACAAGCCAAAGAAACCCAATCATAATGGATTGACTCGATCTATGGCAGAAAAGAAAGCTTTTCTTTAGGAATTTGTGCTGATATTTTTTTCTTGATCATTCCTGATTTCTTATGTGTAGTGATGAAAGTACCTGCACATGCACCTTGTGACTCACATAGATTTACTCTTGTGGTTGCTGTTTTGAAATTAATTGAAACTGATTTCTTTTTAATTTCTTTTTTTGTATCCTGGGGTAAAATTTCAGAAATTATAGAAATGCCAACCTATGAATACAAGCTTCTGCTGAGGATGAAAGAAGTATCCAGGGTTTTCTTTTAACATTTTGCTGGCATATGGTGCTTCTAACCCAGTGACAGATTCATTGACTAGATGTAAAGGAGATGGACAGTGCTTAGCAAGGAAGGACAGGATATGCATTATAGGACATCTGGTTCTGCCTCTGTTGGATTATGGATACAATATACATTGGACAGCTAACGAGTCTCTGTTGCATAAGATAGATTCTCCTTATAATAGAATTGCATGCTTTGTCTCTAAATGAGATTATTATACACACCATTGAACAATGTTTGAAGAGCTTGGCTGGTCATTGTGGAAGGTAGGGAGAGGAAAAAAAATTGGAAAACAATTGCTCTTAAGACCTTCAATCCATCAATTGCTCCATATTTATCCAAATTACCATTAACTATGCCAAAATATAAATCTATGATACATTCAGAGTTGAAATGTTAACATTGACTGGCCAGATTTTGACAAGGTGGATTTTTCTTTTACTGTTGTTTTTACCTTGCAATAAAATCTTACTTCCTCAGAGGGAAAAACTGGTAGTGGAAATACCACTTTGTAGTGGCATAATAACTTTCTACTCAGAATGAATTATCAATTTAGTTTTTGCCACTATGCGAACATTAGTCTGAGTCTCAGGAGGTTTTGATTTTTCCAAAGATAAACTGTGAACAATTTCTTTTATAAGGAACTCTTTCCCAGTAATCTGCAGAATCTAAGGACAATTCTTGCAAAAGTAATGCATGGTTTCAAGGGATTCCATTTTAGGGTCCAAACTTGTGGCAATGGTAGTGCATACTTTTCAGAAAATGATGAGGTCTAAAAACTCCAGATTCCTTATACTTCTAAACACTGGACACCTGAAATTTTACATCTTTAAAACAGCAAACCGTTTCTGAAAATCCTGGCTCAACCACWGAGTAAGACCAAATGTAGCAATTCTAGATGATGTGATGGCACCATTTCCTACATCAACAGAAGAATTCCTTGGTAAGAGTTATAGACAGGGCTTATAAAAAAAGAAAGCTGAAAGGGTTTTTGTCAAATCCGTTGTAAATAATCACCCATCCTACCGCCTTCTTGACATTTTTGTGTTCCTCAGTTAAATCTTCTGTCTCCTAGTCTCCTTTTTAATTTCAGTTTTTCATGTACCAGAAAAGGATGTGATCTTACTAAATAATAGTATTTAATGATTTTCATTTTTCAGGGTAGATACTAAAACTATTGTAACCTGAAAAACTATGATGGTGGCTTTTTTSAGAGCTTTATTCCTCACTCTAAAACTAAGTGCTCTCTCAAAACACACCTGAAAGCAGCATTGCAGTAGAGAAAGCTGTATGTGGGTCCATGGTGTAGTTTCTTTTCAGGCATGGCAATATCCAACTCCCACAAGTATTACTGTTCCAACATAAAGGAAGAGGAGACACATGACATGGAAAAATTTACTTGGTAATTGTGCAAGTCATAATTGTTGCTGTTTATAATTTCTTTCCCTTTCCCAGAGCCCCTGCAGTTAAACTGAAGGGTTATACATGTATAAATCTCTGTGTGCGTGTACATGTGCTTTGCAGGATTTTCTTTGGAAAGAGTTACTCTTTTGTACAGTCCTTTGCTGACATTTCTATAGCCAGCTCACATCCTGTTGGGTGAAGCTATGATCCTTAATGTAAGGCAGTGTGACTCATAAGAAGAAAGATTGTAATAAGCACAGTTTCCAGTGATTAATTTCCCAGCCCTGGATACTCTTCCAATGACTGCTGAGGTGGAGTGTGCTCGCTGGTGACGGTGTTTAAGAGCATTTCGTTTGTGGCTTGAAGTAGCTGGATGTTTCTCTTAATGAGCTCTCCCATTGCTATCACAACAACTTTAAATACCTTATGCCTTTTGAGGAAAGCCTGACACCCAGGCAGATCTGTTTCTCCAAATACCTTCCTGACTGCGTTGCAATTTCCTCCCAGGCTGTGCTGCTGCCATAGTAGTTTAGCAAGAGCTCTTCCTCTTGTCTTTCTTTTTTCCTAGGAAAAGGAGAAGCTGTAYGTGGAGCTGAGGCAGGTGTTGGCCCGGCAGCCTGGGCCCGAAGCCGTGGAGCAGTTGCAGCAGTACCGGAACGTAATCCGGGAGAAGACGAAGCATATCAAAGTAAGAGGTGCCCACTGTGCCTGGGCAAGGGCTGCCAGCCTGGCAGAGGGGCTGCACGGGGCTCTGGGTGCTGCCTGCCCTAGTGTATTAGACAGGAAAGCAAGGTTAATGCTGCATCTCCTCAAGGGACAACCAAGAGCAGCAAACCAACATTTTTTCTGCATTATGCTACTTTGTTTCAATGAAATAGAGGGAAAGTCTTATTACGAATGTGCAGCACAGTGCTGTAGATATGTTTYTTGCATAGGCATTCTGGGATACTGCCAGCTTTTCATTCAGCTTATTSTCTTTCCCTTCATCTTAAACTGTTAATATATTTTAGAAGCAAATCAAAGCCATTTTGTTTTCTTTTTAACAAACTAGTGGGAATATATTGAGAATCCAATCTTAAATTACTGTTATTTCTCTTGCAATGCATACATGTGTATTTAGATTTGCAGATTTTGTGGAGATGACWGGAGGAACCTGATCTAACCCCTTGTCAGTAGAAGAGAGGAGTTCCTGCTCTCGAAAGAATCTTTTAGAAAATTTTAAAAGCATAATATTAAAAAGCAATTCTTTGATGGAATTCTATGATATTCTATGAATAAGCTGATCTTCTCTTATTCTTGCCTGCATGAGAGATCAGTCTCCCCAGGAGTTCATCTACTTCTACAGCTCCTCTCTCTGTTGAAGTCATCATCTCCTGTTCACTGCATCATAATCACGTCTATACAAACGTATGGGAAAAAAATGCAGGAGCAGATGGGCCCTTAGGAAACAAAGAGGCTGTTATGCAAATCTTAGCTTTCCATGGAGAAGAAAAACAATGTAGAAAATGTAAAATAGAAGCCAAAGTTTAGCTAAAGTGAACATGGTTTAAAGTTTTCCATAAGGTCCTTATTTGTCCTTAATGCAGTCAATTGCAACTTTGTATTTCAGGCACAGTATGCTGTAGCGTGATGGTGTGCATGCCATTTTGGGGTGCCAGGTCCAGTTATGATCCTTTTGAAAGAAAGAAAATGCACTATGCATGTTCCTTTGTTTTTTAAAATTTTACTGGTTCATGTGAAAGCGACTTTGTATTCATATTTACAGTGCCTGGTACTACTTTGCCTGTGTGGATTGAATTACTCCACTTAACAATGGATCCCKGTGAATAAACCAAATTATTATCAAGTAATTTCCTGATTTATTAGGACCTTAACTTTGGAGGTTTACCCATCTTTATGTCCCAAAAATTAAGAACTAATGTATGTATTAATGCCATTCCCATAAAGCTTGGAGCACATTTTTACATGGTGTTTTATGGTTAAATGGCATAATCTTTATTTTGTAAGTTGTTTTTAGGTTAGCAGAGGCAAGATCAAATGAAACATCATGATGAAAAAAAGTTGTGGTAGAAAAGGATCATGACTTACATCATCAAATRTAAAAGGAAGAAAATGCTTGTAAAAGTACTCACTTATGTGTAAGTAAAACAACATSTCCTGTTTGTGTTTTGTTCATTAGGCTTTGTCCTCAGAACTGAATATGTGTGAAACACAGAACAAAGAATACAAGAAACAAATTGAAAGACTTAACAATGAGCTTCTGGAAGTGAAAAAGAAATATCTAGCTCAGAAACGCAAGGAGCAGCAGTACAAGTATGGGAAAATAATAGTTTTGTCTACACAACTTTCTGCATAAGCTAGATTTTTGTTTTAGACCCTACTTTACCCTTTTGATCAGAATGTGGCCAAATTTGACTGAGGTGATTCAGTTTGGTTGCCTAATTTTTCTGCATGTTATCCTTCATGTTACTCCAGTCTGATCTGGATTTACCATGATCTATTGCCAGGACAAGAACATCCATCAGAGATGCTGCTGAACATGTTCTGCAGTCCAGATAAATTATTCATACCAATGAGATGGTGCCCAGAGAACAGAGATTAGTGTCTGGTCTCTGACATCAAAGCAAAGAATTGTAGAACAGTTTGGGTTGGAAGGGCCCTTGAAAGGCCATCTAGTCCAACAGCCCTGCAATGAGAGGARCATCTTCAACAAGATGAGGTTGTTGAGAGCCCCATCCAACCTGACCTTGAATGTTTCAAGGGATGGGGCATCTCSCACCTCTCTGGACAGCCTGGGCCAGTGTTCACCACCCTCATAATAGAAAATTTCCTCCTTATATCTAATCTAAATATACCCTCCTTTACTATAAAACCCTTATCCCTTGCCCTATTACAACAGGCTTTCTGGGCTGTGAGTGCCCACAGTTGGCTCATGTSCAGCCTCTCACCMACCAGCACCCCCAGGTCCTTCTGGGCAGGGCTGCTCTCYATCTGTTCATCCCCCAGCCTGGATTGGTGCCACTGCCCTGGCTCATGTGCAGCACCCAGCACTTGGTCTTGTGGAACCTCCTAATATTTCCATGGGCCCACTTCTTGGGCTTATCCAGTCCCTCTGGATGGCATCCCATCCCTCACTGAGTCAACTGCACCATTCAGCTTGTTGTCTTCTGAAAACTTGCTGAGGGTGCTGAGGGTGGACTTCACTTTGAAAGAGAAATTTCTTAGAACTCTCCAGTTAGATGATCTTTTACCAAGTTTTTCTGTGTGGGCAGAAAGCCTTTCGTCTTTTCACTCATTTCCATCCTCAGCCTGTGCTTTCCTCACACTCTAAAGCCAACAGMTTTCTACTGTTGCTGAATATAATTCAAAGTTGCCTCTATCATTTCTTCCTTAATCCTGTTTCAGACAGCAAACAATTTGACGACTACATTAGCAAAATAATCAGTGATAAACAGTGACTTTTGTCCATCTGCAAATTACATAATGTTACCTTAATGTTTGGAATTAGCAACAATTGTGCAGTGCTAATGGCTTTTCTGGAGCTTTAGGATCAATATGTGAGGCTACCATAATGCCTGATAATCCATTTCCAGCAGCTAAATATCTCATTTAGAGTAGATTTGATGTTTCCACTTTGGACTCTGGCACTATGTCTTTTTCTGTTCATCAGATGAGGAGAAATTCACCCACATTTTGTTTTTATATCTCACCTAGAATTAATTCCTGTCGTAATAACTCCCCTTGTTAAGAACATAATTGCTTCAAAGTAAAACAAAAGCTGTGTGAGTTGATGGTGGCTGAGCTGGGGCACATTATACTGTGAAAGTGATTTCACATTTCACGTCATTTAGTGTTGGATGCATTGTAGTCTCAGGGTATATATCTGCCACTGTCAAACTGGGGCAGTTTGTCAAGTTGTTCTTTTGGGCAAGCATGTCTGTAGTCTGATGAGCATTGGTGTCTTTGTGACATCTGTGTTTTGGAGGTACATTCAGGTGCTTCTGCAGGATGGTGTCATCTCACTGCCCCCACCACAGGCTCAGAGGCACCAGCACTGTGCTGCCAGCCCTGGCTTGCACTTCTCATGTGGCAGCTGAGAGGTGGTGCAGGCCTTTGCTCTCCTCAGCCTGTCATTGCTTTGTACCCCAGTGAAGCCTGTTGGACTGCATCCTGCTTTGCAGGACACAAAGGGGCTTATCAGTCCTGGATAACTGCAGCTTCTGCAGTCTCTGGGCTGTGCTTTGTGTCTGCAAAGAAACAACCTTGCACAGCCCTCCTTCTCCAACCTGCCAATTGTGCAAGACTCATGGCTGGCTTTCTGCAGTAGAGAGAACCTGTTGTGCAGTCAGGTTGTTCCCCAAGGAGTCCTTTTCCTTGGCATACAGCCATTCCACACCATTCCTGCCTCAGGCAGTGCCTGCTGTGTGGATGCTGGCCAAAGAACCAGTGCCATTTGATTCATGCAATCTCAGATTGCTCTAAATCCCAGCTGACAGAAAACCACTGTCTTGATCTCTACCTTGCTGGCTAATGTTAACATCATGTCTGAAATGAATGTAGCTGGTTTTGCTAATAAAAAGAGGATCCTGTCAGAACAATAGCATTACCAACGTTATTGACTACCCTGGTATGAAAGAGAATTAATACTCTCAGATCACCTTACACAAAGTTATCATCTAAAGCTTGTATTGATTTTCACAAGATAGCTTTGAGTTGTGATTTAACATCCTACTACTGAGCAAATGCAGCTTTGCATGTGATGCAGAAGGAATATGAGTGACAGCAGGAATTTAGCTTTGTTTTATGTTCAAAATGAAAATTCAATGTTTTTTAGATTTTGGTTGTGAATTTCAAATCCTCTTTTTCAGCTCCCTGATTCTGAATGTTGCCATTCCCAGTTGTCTTAGCTGTTCTTTTTCTATCTCTTCCTATTTTTAACTTCYGCTTCTTGAACCCTTTCTGCATCACTATTTTCCAAGTTGCTTCTAGCACCAGGATTCAGTTTTGATCTTGATAAGGATTTGTGAGAAAATATGAAGCTTAAATCCACACCAGAGACCTAATCCAGCAGTTCTATATATGTAAATAACTGCGCTGAGGGATGTCAGTAGTAACTGGAAGCTTTTGCACGTGGCTGGTTGCACATTAATTCTGCATAATATATTATAGTATTCAGTTGCATTGAATTTTCCATACTGATGAGCACATCTGTTGGGTGTCTCCATGGGAGCATGAGGAAAGAATGAGCATGGATTCTGGATCATTTTCTTTCCCCAAACTTGGAAGCCCAAGAGTGAGATGGGATGAGCCATCTGAATACAGAATGTTAGTTTTTGGTGCCGTCAGCTGACATATGTCAGCTGCTACACTGATACAATTAAAACCAGTTATAAATGGTTTCCATCATTGGCTATAATCCTACCTCTGTATGGGTCAAATTAGGAAAAGGTTGCATAACTAGACATCCTACATGGTTTCTCTGAACTTCCTCCTATCCTGACAGTTATTTAGGGGCAAATACAAAAGTAATAATTGCAGGAAATATTTTCCCTTACTGATCATGCCTGATGATTTTTGCCTTTTATTTTTATATACCCTTAAATATTTTTTAAATATCCTCTTGGACATTTTCTGCACCTTTATATATTCCTTGTACCCTTTGTCTACATGCTTGTAATTCTTTTATCCTGATATTCTAGAACCCCTAGATAATCTTGGGGTTCTGTTAGGCAGAAGACCAAACATCCTTAGTAGGAGGCCAGTGAGYCCCGGGCTATCCCAAAACCCGACGGTTTAACCTTGAAGCATTCTCTCTAGGACATATTGTGTAAACTGGGCTCTAGCCTGATCCAGGGGGGATTTCTTTAGAGTAGGGGGACATTACTTAATTTGTTACGTCTCTCACTGGGGAATTCAAGATAGATATGCTAATTTCTGATGTCTATATAAATTGTATGTGTTATACGTGGTGTGCATCTTCAGCATTTTCCAYCTTGATGAGCTGTGCTGRGATCCTRTTAAAATACCAAGGTRAACCCTTKTATCCCCTTAACTGTGTCTGCCTYATAATTCAAAACTAGMCGATAAGGCAACAYTGGGGACTGAGCAAAGATACTCATGTGACAAGGCTAGATTTTTATTGCMCTCACACTTGTGTCTCAATCTCAATAACTGTGAAATAAAATAATAGTACTGACCTTCTTTGTRAAGCCTCAAGACTTCTGCTGTTATGATAAACTAGAATTTCATGAAGCTCCACTTGATTAATCTTATATATCTCAGGACCTCTCTCTGAAGATCCAGGTATATCACAGTGAGTTTGGAATATTTCCCTTTATCTTTGTAGTGCTGTGCTTACCTCCCCAACTTTGTGAGACTGGAACCAGCTAACCCTTGTTCCCTCCTCTTAAGATCATCAAATTCARGACCTCCTGGGTTCTCAGATGGAGCAACTCCCTGGGGCTTTCAGTGCACTACAGCACACTGTTAGTTTTCTGCAAATTTTACAGACAGGGCAATTATCGCTGGAACTTTGTTAAAATGTGAAGACAGGTAACACTATATAGTCATTAAAATTCAACAAAGGAAAAAAATCTCCCCATTGTGCCTTTGATGAATGTAGCTGTTTGTTTGAAAACAGGCAGATTCCAGCTAGAACAGGGTGGTGATTAGAAATCTGAAGTCATGGAGCTCRTGTACATACTTTCTCTAATGAGGTGTTCTGACCATTTTGGGGAGTAGCACAAAGAAAGCTCATTTATTTCTAATTTTTAATAATTCCAAACCCCATCAGTAGTCTTGTAATTAGATCCAAACAGACACCTAGTCTTGGAGGTTTAGACTAACAGGCTTTAATCAACATTTTTTTAATGATCTTTTGATACGTGGTTGCATCAAAGAAACTCTGGAGGACGCAGATTCCCTTAGTTTGTAAGCATCTCTGGGCTGCCGAATGAAATATGAATTTTCTGTTTATTTGTTTATTTTAAAGGGAGAAGGAGCGAGCCAGCATGGACATGAGGATGAAATTACCACCTCTCAAGCCTGGTGACCCCCCCTTCACGATAGGGGGCTTTCCTTTGAGCAAACTCCTTTCCAAAATTGCAGTCTAGGAATGCACTCATCTAGTTGCTTTACTGTTCCCAGTTTCTTGTTTGAGAAACTGTAATTTTAGGAGAGATTCAGAATCTACTGAAATCACTGTATCACCTCTAGGAAAATTTTATATATTGTATATAATAAAATGCATTTTTASATTGGAATTAYATTTTATATTGTATTTATATTTTGTACATTTTATATTGGAATTAACGTAGTTCTTTTTACGAGCTGTGTACCAAATCTGCCCATTTTTTGCCAGCAGAAGYCTGCATGGATGTAAATGGATAATGGAGATATTTCTTCTTCAATATTGTGTCTCTGTTTAGCCCTGTAACACCACAAAATGCTTTAATATGTAGTTATTTCTCTTTTATCTACCTCAGTTGTAAGCACTCACTCCATTTATCTTCTGACTCAAAGCACCTGAAAGAAATGAGAATACAGAAAAGAAGAAAAATTAATAGGCTGATGTTTCAAGCCCTGCTGAGCAAATGCAAAATTAACAAGTCTTTACTTAGATGTACATATGTAGCAGTTTTCTGTGTAGGTAGTGTATAATAGGGTTTGTGCAGTGTTTGCTATAGTTGTTAGTAAGATCAAGGAAGTTTGTGGCCACAATGTACATTATTAAGAGCCCGATTGTGTTTACTCTGGTCGATACAAAGTGACATAATTATGTCTGTTCAACTGGGGGGACTGTGCACACCGAGTGGGACATGCTGTTCTCCCACACAAATCCTTCTGAGCGATTAAAACTTGGACGCAAAACATGGCAAACTTTATGCTTTCATTTCTAGACACTTGGGCATTTTTGTAACTTTCAGAAATTGTTTTTGTAATACAGCAGGAGCCCTCCAACCTTTTCAGCCAAAAGAGATTTAATTACCATTCATTAACAAGTRAAATAACAAAGTCACGGCATGAGGTGCTGAAGTATAGAAAACTTTCAAGCTGTAAAATAAAATGTTTTGAAACAGATTTGAACGTAGAAGGTTTTTTCCCTGCCTGGGGGATAAAAATACTTGTCCAAGGAGATATGCTGATAAATATTTCACATCCAGAAAAAAAAAGCCAAAACCCAAAAAAACCTTCCACAAAGATTTTGTTCTTTCCTTTGGTGGAATACATAATTAAATATTAAAGCTACTGTGGGAAACTTTAATGGAAGTGTTTAATTCAAAGGAATCAAGTTAAATGCRACAGGGATCTACTTTGCTTTTACATTGGGGACCAGAACACTTAGTCATCAGATCCATTGTATTTTTCTTTTGTCCCTAAAATAGCGATTATTGCTTTTTCACTGTCAAGTGCATTATGCTAAAGGTATCATTTTAGGGCAGTCATGCTGTCTAAATCATGCCTTTTGTATATCTGACGTGTCCTTATAGTTAGAATAATTGACAATAACTGACATGGGCACTTGAGTTTGATGGAATCCCAAGTACATTTCACTGCAGCCTTTAGAAGTTGGTTTTTGCTAAGGTAGGTCCCAACTATCCAGCCTGGAGATGGATTCTTCTGTGCTTACACTAGGAAGAAATTTGTATGGAAATAAATCATCAAAGACAAATTTATTAATTCACATGAACTAGAGACATAGTTAGACTCCAAGAACACGTCACTCTGTAGAGAAGACACTGATRTATTACACTCTAAACTGTACGGTGTATCCCCTAATTTATCCAGAGGTAATCCCAGTCTGTGTACATCTCCCACAGAATCATTTAGGTTGGAAAAGACCTTCAAGATCATCCAGTCCCACCTTTGACTCAACACCAGCATGACAACTAAATCAGAGGTAAGTGCCACGTCCAGTTGTTTCCTGAACAGTTCTTGAGCAAATGGTGACTCCACCACCTTCCCTGGGCAGCTTGTTTCAATGCTAACCACCCTTTCAGTGAAGAAATCCTTCCTGGTGTTCAACCTGAGCCTCCCACGGCACAACTTGAGGCCATGTCCTCTTATCATGTCACTTGTTTCCTGGGAGAGAAGGCTGAGCYCCAGCTCCTTCCAGCTACAGCTCCTTTAAGGTAGTTGTAGAATGATAAGATCACTCCTGAGCCTCCTTTTCTCGAGGCTGAACCCCCACAGCTCCTWCAGCAACTCATTGTAGGATTCCATGACCCTTCCCCAGATCCATTACCCTTCCTTGAACACACTCCAGCACCTCAATGTCCTTCAGGGGGTGAGGGACCCAGAACTGGACACAGCACTTGAGGTGTGGCCTCACTGGTGTGGCCTCACTTTCTCTCTTTGTTTGTTATCAGGTTTTAGGAGATAAATTGTCTCAGTTGTCAGAGGGAAGGAGGGGAAGCCAAGCAGATGGAATCTGTTCCCTACTCGCATATATTTTTATGAGTACAGTAGTAAAACTGATTGTTTTCTGTATTTAGATGTATTTAGTAGCAGCTTGCATTGCGCAAGTAAGAAGCTCTTTCCGTARATGATTCTTGACCTAAGTTTTTCCAGTCTTTAAAATGGTTGGGATAGTATTTGTCTAAAGACTTGCAAAGGTGAATTCACTTACATTGGAAAGGTGGTTAGTCTTCTAGATTAAAAAAAAAAAAAAAGAAAAAAGTAGGGGAGTGCAAAATAATGTGATTTTTTCATACAACATGTTCTTCCAGAAGAAGAGCTGGGAATTGAATACAGTAAATTTCATCTACAAAGTACAGAAGCTTTTACTTGTTTATCCACAATTTCAGGCATCAAGATGTGAATGTGTTGGCTACTATCTTCAATTTTATTGCATTATTTACTTACTACCAGGGAAACTAAATTCACAGGTTAATTTGGAAAAGAAAAAAATATAAGACAAGAAAATATAGTCATCAACTTATTGCCAGTAACTTTCAGCATAATCAGGAATAGAATAACTGCAGCCAGCTTAATTTATAGTGCTAGAGAGTGAAAACCATTTCTGAGTTCATATAATAGAACGGATTAAAGCACACCAAATCCCTTCCCCCCCCAGTCTATAAAAGTCAGGGAGCTTGAAAAATTGCTCTGGATGTCTGTGAACCCAGCTGATGCTGAGGTGCTTTTAGTGTTCAAGGATTTGGCTTGCGCAGCAGGGAAAGGCAGAGCACTAATGAGAATATCATTTGTTCAGTTGCTTCTGCATTGTGAGCAGCAGCTCTGAAGTGCTTCTCTAAGTTTTGTTGCAGAAAAATGTTAATTGAATTCCAGTCTGTGCAAGACGTAAGCCTAGAAGCAGCAAGTATATCTTTAACTTCTTTTTCCTGTAAAGATACGTGAAAAGATGGAGGTGAAGGGCTATGATCCATGGCACTTAAGTTAGAGGAAATCTTTCTTCACTTTAATTGCTTTGGATTGGAGCTGGCACGGTAAATCTATCCTGGAGCCTTTTTTAGTGAGCTAAGTGYATAATATTGTTCACTTTCAGAGTTCTTGCAGTATGCAGATAATATTTTAAGTAGTTTCTCATCAAACTTAAGCTCTGTCTGATCTTGTTTGGCAGGTCTGTGTTCAGTGTATTGAACGAGCAGGACACATAAAAGACACTGTGCACTGAACTATCAAGTTCAATTGCCGGACTGCAACCCTTCTGGGATCACCTGTCAGCTATGAAAGACACAGCACAAAAATCMAATCCTTAATTGACACTTACTTTGTGAATGCAGAGCAGCAGGAACACATACTATACACCCAGTAACATGTCCTGCTGCTGTAAATCCGGGAACCCTTGGAGTCAGCAGCAGTGAAAACCAGGCAT